TATTCATTAGCTCACAGTGTAAAAACACTGATAGCCATGGATGGGACACAGCTGAGAGCTGGAGATGAATTTGAGGTGACAGCATTACAACCTTTTGACCGCAAGAGGACACAAGGTATTTCATGAGAAAGAAATGGAGCTAGTGGGTGTGAAGAGGTAAAAGATAAATACCACATGATATTAAATAATGATGACACACAATTCTAAAAGCAGCCAGCTGGTCTAGAGCTGAAGGTCCAGAAGGCAACTTCTTATGTAGGCCAACCACCTTGTGCTGAGTCCACATGGTCCATATCTCTGATGGAGCATTTTTGCAGTTGTTATACATATGAACTGCTTGCATGTCCTTCCTGTCTTGGCCATTAAGAGAAGGGAACTCATGCAACACTAAGTTTCTTGCTACTACACATAATATACAAAAGTAGTGATAGAAGTCAGCATGGGTGAATTTGCACAGGCAATTACCTCAAAACTATTAGTTACAACAAACTTCATCTACAGTTTTGGATTTTTGCTAACTGTTGATTTCTTGTAAGAGTACGAAGAATTTCAGAAAAGATCTAAATGGTAAGTAGAAGGAGTACTGCAGGTAGCTTTAGAGATATTTTCTGAGGAAGGTTTAAGCAAGCTGTCTGAAGGCGAGTGCCATGTTTGGTGAAGTACAGTCTAAAGTCTTTTGGAAAAGAAACACTGTGTGATAGTACATCTCAAGAGAGGCTTATTCACAAGGGGCAACAGGCAGGTAAAAGGTTTTTTAATAGCTCTTAGTCACCCAAGTTAACCACATCTAAGATGTATTTCCTAATATTTCTGTGAATTTGGAGAAGTTTGGCCAAACTGCCAATTTTGGCAAATTAAAAGAAATCTCTGCAGTCTGGACATACTGTCTGGCTGGTAAATTAGGACATTTATTTAACATTTTTTACTTTGCTCATGAAAAAGAATCAGTTTCATCTGGGAGAAAATGTATGCGGTTGTCTGAAGAATTTCTAAACAGTAGTTCATCTCAGTATATTAATTTTAGCTAGTTTTTTGCTGCATGAAAACTTTGATTACTTTTAGAAGTAACATTTAGGCTGGATAAGCATGAGACATTTTCCCAAATTGTATCATATTTGGTTATTTCAAAGCAATATATATTACATTTGCTGGGATAATACAAATATATAGTGCTTTGAGCACTTTATTCTCAATTGAGTTGTTGTACATAGAAACACTGCATCTAAAATTATCTAAAAGTACCAAAAATAGTAAACTAATATCTTAGATTAAATAAATACAGGTTTTTTGTAATAGAGGTTAGAAAATATTCTCTAGCTGAGAATAATACTTCACAGTGGCAGCAACTTCAGTTCCATTCAAAGTAACAACAATGTTATGAGTCATGTTCTGGTATTAGAGAAACTTTCCTTTGAGTATTTCAAAGCCAGATCTAGAAAGGTGCTTTTTGATGATATATCTTTGTACATTACTCCAATGGCTAATGACAAATACAGCTCACAGTTTCTTCTCTAAGTCTTTTTACTTTGTAGGAAACCATGTTTAAAGCCCTTCTAGACTTTTATCAGGCTTTTGGATTCAATTTCCTTTCGAGTTTTGATTTTGGATTAATCAATGAAAGAATCAGAGTTATGATATTATTTTCAGTAAAAGGAAATGATTTTGCAGACTGTCTAACATTTCTTTATTCCTTTCACTAGCTTGAGTTCACCTTTCAGACTTTCATACCCCTCAATGTCCTTTATTCAGCAGTATCTTAATATTTATGCTGGTTTGTATTCCAGATCACTTCTTTACATGCAAAATTTTTACTACTTCTAGGTTTTTTCAGATCCAAAAAATTATTTGAAGGGATTGTTTTTCCTTCAGCACTTTACTTCTATAAACACATTTTGACTGCCAGAGAATTTGAGAAGAATCTATTATATAGTATTTTTTATAAAGAAAATCTTCTATCAGATGATGGTTTTATATTTCATGCTTCTTAATCTATTTTTATACCATCTAGAAGATAACAGACTAGTTTAAACTCTATACACTGAAATTATTTAATATTTTTAAAATATTTCTTAATTTTTTATTGACTTTTAATTATATGAAATTGTCCAGATAAATCTCTGTCTCTTCAGAAAGTTCTTCTCCAATCTGAGTAACAATACTATTTTACCTCTAAGAAAATATTGTTCAGGTCTTTGCTTAAAATTATTTTTATTTCATATTTTGGCTTTTTGATTCACACAAAATTACTGGAATGAAGTCTCCTCCCTAGGTAACAGAGATAAGTATTCAGTGACTATCACTAAGAAAGGGAAACTAACATCTACTGTCCAAAATCATGCCCTCTAAAATGAGAAGAGGTTATAAAGAGAAATTGAGTTTCTACTCCCATTCAATTGACACAACTTCTTTCATTTACGTAAAGCCTAAGGTAAAGAATACAATAAATATTCAAGATATAATTCAAAATTTAATTCAAATCCTGTCATGCTGCAAGAAGATACGGTTTCAAAACCAGTGCAAACATCTGGGAGTTCTTCAGTGAGTGTTACCAAAAAGAGTATGCCTTCTTTTACAGCAGCTGATGCAAAGTATCTAGAAACAGAGACCTGCAAATGTATGCTCTAACAGTGGGTATATTTGTGTCCAGCTGTTTAAAAGTGAAAAGTTTTTACTTTGCTGACTCTGTAGCTGAAACTTTCTAGTCTCTCTGTTTTTTCTTGGTGCTTGGCGTATGATGTGTCTGTTGTTCTCAACATAAGCTGCTCTCAATATAAGATGATATCCAAATGAGATCAAAAAACAGAGGAAAGGCAGATGTGACACAAATACCATCTTGAATTGGCTCTTAAGTGAAAAGTAAGCCTTCTTTGAGAGCGAGTGAGAAGATGAAAAAGAAGGGCTCCAAACTTGTGAAGTCTGGTGGAAATACTGCATCATCACAGGCAGTGAGAATAGAAAAGGGAAGACTTTTCCCTCATCTTGAGAGTATAAAGAACAGATTCAGTTCTAGAAACTTTGTGGCTTTTACAATGCAACTCTGAACTATGTTATTCTGGAGAGAAATCCAGTCTTTGAAGAAAACTGTAAAAGTGAGCCAGACATGAATATTTCTCTGCAGTAATTGCTATGAGGAATGACTTTGCAGCTCATGCTGTCTTGTTTTTTTTTTTTTTGTTGTTGTAGTAAGTTGGTTGTGGGCTTTTTTGTTTTTGGGGGGGGGTGGGGGGGAGGGAGGGCATTTAAAATGTAGAACTTAGTAGCAAAATATCTATGATCTATTCATGAAGCTCTCAAAGAGGAGGTACAAGGACTTTGGACACAGTAGGCACCCACATGGAGGTGTAAGATACAGATATGAAGGGGTTGGTCCTTCAAAGACCATTAATCATAAGCTGGGTACATGATAGAACATGCTTCCCAATTCAGGACATACACCTGTCATGAGTAAAGTTACAGGCACTGCACGTTACTGGAAAAGCTATGGCTACAGGTGAGGAGGAGACACTGCAGGGAAATTTGGCACGAGACATGATAAATACGTATTTTGCCATACGCCCAAATAGAGACAATCTGGGTGAAAACCAGCACTGTCACAAACCTTTCTGCCAAAAGAAAAACCTTTGTGGCACAAGGGTCAAGTACTGCCCTCATCGATTAGGCAGGCTAAGCAGGAATATAACAAGCTTCTGAACTTTGACAGGATCATGGAAGAGTGAAAGTATCATGCAACACGATCAATGTTTCTCTGTGGAGAGATAAAACGTAACACCTGAAACTGATAGTGACCTATGATATGAAAAACATATAAAGAAGCTGGATGGGATTTTTTCATTTTGTCTTTCTAAGTTTTTTTTTTTTTTTTTAAATATTAGAACAGTTGGCATTTTGTCTTGATCTCTGTTAAAGTTGTATCTGACAACTTGGTGACAGAGTAGAGGAGATTCTTCTAGCAAGAGGAGTCCTCACATCTCCCTCTCTCCCCTTGCCCTTCCATCCTCCTCCCTAAATCACTTTGATAGTACTTAGTGCTGTGGCAATTTCTTTTTGGTATGGGTGTTTAGTCCTACCTTACTTCTGACTACTTCAAGGGGTTTCTAAAACCACAAACATCACACAATAGTTTTAGCGCACTGTGGTTACATAAACTACAGCCAAGAAACCATACAAGCAGTGGACTTCATGTGCATGGCTTTATGACACAGCATGCTGTGCTCTCACCAGCTCCTGTCTGTCCAGCATCTTAAAGACTGATAGTGGCCCGAAATGGAATTGTAATTGGGAGTTTTGATCTGAGTAAATCAATTACCAGAAGTGCTAAACTAACCACTCTGCAGAACAGAGCTCTTGATTTTCCAAGGGTGCAGTGAAGGTGGAAGCTATCTCATGGTAACTTACTCATGTATCTCAATCTGTGCTCCAGTAAGTTTAAAATTATAAATTTAATGGACCATTACAATATCCTAAACTTTTCCAACAACTAAAAACTTATTTAAATGAAAAGTAAAGCAAAAGCAGGGCCACAAACACCATTCTTCTGGAGAGAGCAATAACATTTGGCACTCTCTAGAGCCCCATTTTAAATTTGACAGTTTTGACTGCAGTGGTATTATAAACAATATTATGCACACAAAGACATTAGAAATGTATAGATATTACTGAATTTTTACAGTACACCTGTGAGGAGGGCATTATTTTGCTGACTGAACAAGCAGAACAAAGAGAAGCTGAGGCATAAAAGTTAAGCAAGTTGATCAAGTTCACAAAGCAAATTTCTTGCAGAGTGAGAGCAGAACTCAATCTCACAATTTGGAGTTTGTTTTTCCCCTAAAATCATTATTCTTCCCCTTCAGGTTGTTATTTTGAGGTGTAGTAGTCAACTTGCTTAATTCTCTCGCCCCTGACACAGACTATATTTCTACATTAAATAATGTGCTTTTGCAAACAGTAAAGTTTTATTAACACACAGAATTGTGGATATGAACAAAACCAGAGGCGCTTACCCAAATCCAGAAAACAAGCGACAGAAGAGGAAGAAGCCATAGCCCTGGACAAATGATGAAAGGAAGGCAAAGAATCCATTGACAGACATGCATATCAGGAGTGATTGTCTCCTTCCCACCTTGTCTGCCAAGCCTCCCCAGAAGAATGCCCCCACCATCATCCCAAGGTACACTATGCTACCTGAAATACACAAAAAAAAAGATGTTGTTTTGTGAGCTACATAACTGACCACAGTTGACCATGCCAAAAATAGTTGATCTATATTTACAAAACAAACAGTACAGAGATTAATTTCTCCTTTCTCAGTGAATAGAGGTTATATGCTTAAATTCGCAAATGTATTTAGGGAGAACAGATTTCCTGCTCTGTCCTTGTAATCTGTTACCAGACATACTGAAGATTAATATAATTATTAAACAAGGTGCCTTCAGCTAAAACAATTTAAATACAGGCAAATAAGACGGAATGGAATAATGCCACTATCTCCTCAGTAATAAAATGCGTTCATGTTAAATACTGTGAAAATTATAACTTGCTCTACAGAAACAAATTGTCTGAATATTTCAAGAGCATAAGAAGTCCTGTAGGGCATTAATCACTGGGATTAAGATGTGCTAAATCTGAAGGAAGCTGATTATGAAACAGACACATTCCATCTGAGATCTAGATAATCAAAGATGTCCAGCTCGATTTTTTTTTTCTCCCTCCTACTTCAGTGTACCGCTTTATTTAAAAAGACACTGTCCTGTATTGGAATGTTTTTGATTTTTTTTTTTCCCTAAAGAATTTTGAATGGATACATTGCAGTTTAGTTACATGCATTAACATGAGATAGGGAAAAATTATTTTGCAGTGATTTTTTTTTAACAGTAATAATATTTTCAACATGGAGTACTTTCTCACATAAAGATAAGTTAAAATATTTAACACATCTTGACATTCATATCTTAGCATATTGTACATTATTTCTTTCCCAAGGCCAAACCTTCTGTGGGACTTTTGGCAAAGGTGCACAACACATTGAACAGACTGTCAGAATAAAAAAGTAGTTCCCAAGCTTTGGACAGAATCAATCAGATTTGTATTTTATTTGCTACATGTAATCGTTTTTCCACCTACTTTCTCACTGAGCTTCCCACACCGGGTTTGATCTACCTAGCAGTTGCTACCATCTACTACAGAGAGCTGGAATACTAGCAATCCTTGTCCTGTGTCTCTTACTAATCAGCCACAAGAATAGACAAATTCCCCAGCAACTCTGCTGGACTTTAATTGCTATTGTGTAAAATTCTGGCCTCCAAAAGTATCGCTTCTGCCCTGCAGAAGGTAACTGCAAGGGAAAGAAAGCTGAAAAAAACTCACTTCAATTCTTGGGCTTGGTTAACTGCATATTAATGTGGGAGTCACTCATCAGTATTCCCATGTTTGGAATTCCAGATGTTAACAGCTGAAGTGCTAACATCTGCAGGTTCTCATGCACCACAAAATGTTCCTAATACCCCTCACGTTTTGTACAAGCAGTTTCCACTGCTGCTTTCTTATGAGACATTCTTTTAAAATATTTGATAGAACACACATTGTGTTAAAAGTATATTAGCAAGACAGAGAGTTTTATTTTGGTTAGGGGAGTATGCTGTATTTATCAACGCCCTTTGCCTTTGGTTGTGACCAACACCAGCAAATCAGTCTTTTCTTCAGCTGCCTCTTTAGCCAACATAAAATAAGAACAGGATATTTCTGGACTGTCTTTTCCATGAGTCCCTCAGGACAGGATTGCAGATCCATTGCTACTCATCACTGGAACATTAACTATCTCTACTTAATCAAGAAAAACAGACTCCTTAAAAACAACGTTTAAATGTCTTCCCAAAACAACTTTTCTCAATGGACATTTTCTAGCTATTACTGGGATCTTAGTCCTTCATCAAAGGATATTGATGAGAATGTAGGTAAATCCAGAGTTTGCAGAATAACTAAAATATCTTTGTTCTCTTTCTACTTAGCCCAGGAAGTACAGAGACACTACAATATTATTTTTGGGTTTAGAGGTGTTTAGCAATGGACATTGATCACATAGCTCCTTCATTCTGATCAGAAATTTTTATTTCAATAATTGAGATTTTCCTAGGAATACACACACAGCTCTTACATTTTCTGGTCCTAAAGATACAAAGTTTGGTGAGTGGCTTACCATGTTCACCCAACTGCTTTAAGATCTCTCCTGTGAGCACGGTTACTATACCACACCACAGGTAGACCAGTACTCACAAGCAGTTTGGAAACTCCATCCAGCAGAGCTGGCACTTGCTTGTCAATCTTAATTGAAAGACCTTCGCAAAAATAGTTCAACAGCTATATTGCCAGAAGACTGATTTCAAAAAGGCAAAGAATATTATTAGTTTTTACTCTTAAATTCCTTATATTCTTTCATATTTAAATGTTGTTGTACTGTCCCAGTCAACACTAATATTAGAAGGCCAATCAATTAGTTTTTTATTTCTTTATATAGAAAACTTTGAAATATTTTATGCAAACTACTTTCCTTGTTTTGTATAGAAATATCAAAACACTATGAACAATGAAAGAAAAAAGTTTCTAAGTCCCGAGAGTTTAAAAACATTAACCTTTCTTTTCAAGGACAAGTTCTTTGTTCATTGTAATGTGCTTTGGCCTCTCTTGTAGCCATGTAATTCTCCTGAAGAGTGTTCAAAATATGCTGCTAAAAATAATATTCTCTTATTAATAAGCTGCTATAAATAAACTGCTGTCTGAGCTGCACCATTAGCTTATTCTTTCCCATTGTAGTAACTTTGAATTTTTTCCTAATTGCCTTTCAGAGCCTCTACAATCCTTCTCCCGCACCAAAGATCTGTATCCTTTCCATCTTGAAACTACTGCAATGACAATGATACCTGTTTTGGTGTATTTTCTTGTCTTTCTTCTTTTTTGTATCTTCTGTCTCTATACAGAACATAAGCCTACTTGCAGCCCATAAAGGAAGTCCTCTTCCTCTCAACGTCCAAAACATTCCTTAAGACTTTTCCCCTCTGCAGCAATAGTTACAATAAGGCATAACAGCGACAAATGGCAAAGAACTCTAACTATGAACAGTTGAAATAGCTGAACAACTACCTAACACATGCAAGTAACCAATGACATCAAATTATCTCTTTACTCTTCATCATCCCTTCCTTTCCAAACTTTGTAGCTCTCACTTATGTCATGCCACTGGTCAGAACATAAATCTCATGAGGAAAACACTGTAAGTTTTTGTATACCTCTCACAAATCACATATTACACATTTTGCATAAATTTATATATGTAACATTAAAGATCCTGTTGTTGCTCAGACCTTGCTCTCTTGTTGTATTACCTTTGAACACTGATCAACAAAACAATAATTGTATGCATGTACATATATGTATATAGATTTTAACCTAGCACATCATTCTGGAGGTGGTACTCACTTTTTGAGCAGCTACTACTGATGACAAATCTGGCTGCTTTTCTTCTTTTTGGTACAGCACACTTGTACCTCTAAAAAAGTTAGTTTATACAGCACAAGGCACACACAGATTTGATATCCATCATGATCCTAGAACCATAGTTTTTAAAATTAAAGTTTATTTTAAAATACAAAGACTACTAACGATGTCTGTAATATGAGTCTTCAATTTTCCCCACAAAGTAACATGCAATCTCAAACTCTGCCATTTGGTGGAAAGACAGTGAGAAGAGGTAAGTGGCAGCTGAAAAGAAACTCACACAATTAATATTCTCTTCTATTTTTCTTTTACCAAGTTTTAACAACTTGTATTTTCTTTCCACAGCAGAAATTCTACATACTTCAATGATTTTCCCCATTGTACAAATGTACAAACTAAATGCTTGCCTCCTCTTCAGATGGGGGACCTGAGTCTGGAACGGGTTTACACCATGCACACACTTTGGCTACCAGAAGGCTAGATATTTCTTAAATGGATGTGCACACAGCATCTTTCAGGTTACTAACAACAGCCTAACCTTACAAAGCAGCTGACCAAGAACTCCCTCACTATCTGAATGCTAGATATAAGTAATTTAAGCAATGGGATAATAATACATACACAGTTTGTCACTGAAGTTCAGTTAAACAGTATTTTACTCCTTGTGCTGTCATAATCTAATTACTTGCTACTGTCTGTTGCAATTCATAGCTTGGTATCTAAATGATAGTCAAATCCTTCTGAGAAATCAGTCTCTAAGTATACACTTAATTGGAATAAAATAAAGCAATGAAAGTAAAGTGAAACTTCCTTGCAACAGAGAGAATCAGACTATGGGACTCAATGATGGTCTTCTGCTTTAACACACCTAGTATAAAGTAAATATAAAACTAGCCAGATTTTATTTCTTTCCTGTTGTGTTATTCAGGTCATTTGTCAGAGTGAGGAATGCATTTCATACAGCTGAAAAAAGTACTTTCATTTTAAAAAGGAATCTAAAAATAAGATTAAAATATATTTTATATTTTGGAAAATGACTTGCAACTGAGTAGCTTGTATACCTATTTCTCTAACAGTAATAATTCCAAAGTGACAAAGCTTGGCACGACAGACCATTGCTTAGTCCACAAGACATTCTGCATATCCTTCACAGACAGTAAAAAAGGACAACCTAATAATAACTAAAGAAAGATATAAATACACACTCATTGTGACAAAGGAAGATACTAAATCCCAGTGAGATCAGTGAAAAAAAAAGACAACTTCGTGTCCTCTTCTGAAACATGCTGAGCCACACAGAAACATTAATATTTTCATGAAGGGAAGAAAACCAAAAATATTGTTTCAATGTGAAGCAACTTTTGAAAAGTGTTTATTAATTTCTAAAAATCTGTTTCTCTATAATTTACATAGGAAAACAACTCCAGGAAATTATCTGATGTAAAGGCTACCAAAACTACATAGCATACAATTCATGGCTCAAATCAATCAAATAAAAAACACACAATAAATAGTCCCTCTGCTCCATCAACAGAAAAAAGAAAACACACACCTCCTTATACCACTTTCAAACATACCTACAAAACATATGATGATTATCAATCTGATACCAATCCAGAAGCTTCACATAAATAAAAATCATGTGAACTGTATCTGTTTGTCAGATGAAATGATCCCATTCTTAGACAATACTC